CAAATAAGCCTTCAAACTTCTGGATCAGCATCGGTGGTACAGCCACGCACCGTAAAGGCATCTCATGGCCACAATAGAGTACACCGTCAACTTCCACGTCTCTTCAAACTTTTTGAGCAAGTCATCCGGGTCGACATAGAAAGAGTCGACCATGAGCGGCGGCGGCGGGTTTTCCGGTAGCGTGACGACCTCCCCCAAAAGAGTCATGCACAGGCACTTCCGTCTCTGTACTGTGTTCAAGCAGCTCGTGGAGCTCTGCCGCGAACTCCGCCCATTACTCCTTGACGGATCGGTCCTTGCATTCATGTCGGCCTGTGAGGTCTAGGATTCCCTGTGACGAGTCAAATCACGCAACCTCATACAATACAGCATTTGAACCCACCGTGTGGAAACCCCTCATCGTCTCATAGAAGCGCAGGACACGGTACTGTACGCCATGCGCGCCACAGGGATCATTACGCGGATCGTGGGTCGTCCCTTGCCGAATCGTGAACGTGATAGACGTGGACGTCCGTTGGTCTTCTCCCTTTCGTAGGGCCTGGCGGGTTATTCGCCCTCATAGCATCCTGGGAGCCAAGCCGTGTTGGTGTTGGTACATCGTCAGTCGAGATACCGATGGGACGCACGAGTGTGGTTAGAGGAACAGAGAGTCTCCCTCTGCTCTGCCTCATACGACATATGATGAGCGAGATCGAGATAGTCGCCAAAAAACAAACAGCGCGACAGGCGCTTAAATATTAACGCCGCGTATGTCTTTGTGGTACTATGGAACACTCGGTCCTTTCTGCTTAATGACTACTACTGCTGAGTTTGCTTTTGCTTCAAATTTGCCTCAACCTCTGGCTTGATACTTGCGATCATGTCCTGGGTGGTGTACTTCGGCTTCCAGCCAAGAGATCTTGAGTGTGTCGCACGAGCACGCGAGTTCGTACCCGAGTAGTTGCCATCATCCTGCCGTCCACCTCATCAGCATCTTCTTTCCACACGATCCCAAAAAATGCGTACCACAGAGCCGAAATGCTTCTCAAGCTCCTCATCCGTGAATGTTGTCGGTTCGGGATCGTTAGTGAGATCAAGCGCCACCATGGCTTCGCCGATCCCCTTGGAAATGTCGTACCACGTGTGCTCGCCATTCTCGCCAAAGTAGTAGCCGCGAACTCCGTGATCAACGTTCTCGGGGCCCTTGGTGATAATCGCGTCGTATAGGATGATGTACAGGTCCGCGACTGGTACGAGTCATCAGCTATATGCAGGGTCTCACGCATATTCCAGAGGTATGCGTACCATCGTCAATGTGGACGTCTGGCCAAAACGGAAGTCCCTTGCCTACCATGCCCGCCCGGCCGCGGGCGAGAGAAGCCTTGATGAGCATAGGAATCTGGACAGAGAACGGGTTCTGGATCCCTGCATCGACCAGCAGGTTCTTTTCGATACCATAGATGGTACTAGGTAGAATGATGTAAGTCCTAGCGTAGCCTATAGCAGATGGTGAATTTGTCGCGTCCACGCCCAGCTGGAGCAGAACTATACGTACCCTGCTTGTCGGCCTCGAAGATAGCATTGTCAACATCACGATGCAACGCAGTTGGCTTGATGTTGGCGATCTGCTCGAAGTCCGAGTCATCGTAGATAACGTCGGTGGCTGCCATTCCCTTGGTCTCTTGGCCTTCGGTCAGAATGCCTGTGCCAGACTGTAGGTAACCACGTTAGTACACGGCTTTGAGACGCGCCTGACGCGGAAACATACGGTATGAATGAGAATAGGGAGATCGCCGAGCTTCGCATGGCGTTGTCTTAGGCCCTTAAGGATAGCCTGGATAGCCGGGAGGTCATCTGCGTCGGCCTGAAGCAACCATACCGTCAGAATCGCTCAGGGGCCGCAAGGATGCAGCGGCGCACCAAGGAGAGAACGAGGTGTGCATTCTCGGCGAGCTTCTCAACCAGCGTAGTATCCTTGTAGGAACCAATAACGCTATGGACGCCAAACTGCTCGAGCTTTTTGGCTTTCTCCTCGCTGCGCACAAGCGCTGTGAAATCGAAGGTGTTTGCGCTAGGGTGCGAGAGAAACCTGGAGAGGACAGAACCTCCGATATAACCTGTACGCCGTTCAGCAAATGATGGTTAGTCCACACCTAAAGACACGCACCGGTTGCGCCAATGACAAAGATGGGGGTCTTTTCGGCCATTGTTCACGGAAGTTGTGGGTGAAAGTCTGCGAGTCCCCGCCCACGAACACGCATCTTTATGTGAAGCCCAGGATAAAGTAATGTATTGGAGCTGAGGATGAGTAAGCCATCGATCCCCGTATACACAAGTGGGAAAGGAGCAAGAGGTTTCTCTCGACGCGACTGTCACTAAGTCACTAGTCACGGTCACCGGTCACCGGTCCCGGTCATCCCGCATCCATGTCCCCTTTTGGCAAGTACTGTAACGCTATAGCATCGCTTTCCCCAGCATATCAAGTTTTCGCTGCCCGTTCTTCGCGCACATATCCAGTCTTGCAACTTTGAATAACATTGATATCAAAGTGTAGTTCATTTAATATACTTCAAGCAGATCCAGGTTTAGGATGGTGAGGATGACCGTTATGTCAATATTAATCATGACCGCATGGCTGGCGGCCTTATCCGAGATTTTTGAGCTCTACTCCCGGCTCGAGCTCCTTCAAAGCAGACAACATCATCTTTGACATCACAGATTATCCATTCATCAGCGCTACTATGTGCGAAGTTAGCAGCACAAAAGTAGCATTAGAGGAGCGCAAAAGCTGAAAAAGAGAAACCAATTTGAAGCTGAAGTAGCTTTGTATACTAAGAACATTCACTCATTTTTTTCTTAATTGAGCCTCTACTGCTGAGTTTGCTTTTGCTTGGGAAGTGCCTCAACCTCAGGCTTGATGCTTGCAATCATGTCCTGGGTCGTGTATTTCAGCTTCCAGCCAAGGGGCCTTAAATGTGTCGCATGGGCACGTGAATTCGTACCGTACCCCATAAATTGCCTATTTCCTGCCACACGGTCCTTCAACTTGAACATCTTTATCTCTCAACGAAGTCTAAAGCGCACATACCACAGGGACTCGGACAAATACTTTGCAAGCTCCTCGTCCGCGAACGCCGCGCAAGGCCGGGCGCTATATCAATAATCATGGCCGTACAACAATATTTCCCTCGCGTAAGATTCTCAAGCTGTCCTCCTGACTCAGACTCTTTCTAAGCAGATAGCATTATCTGCACGATTTCCAAGCACAGATTCCCCGGCAATAAAGGAATGCAGCTCGTATCGAGCTGACTCGTGCGACTTTGTAAGCAGGGCTGCTCGTCAATACAGATCCGAGTCCGAGTCAGCCCCAGCCCCCATGAAAAAAAGGCACTCGCTATACGGTGTTAGCACACAATATGGACGGAAAGCTGTGATTAGTACGTGTGTGTGTGTGTGCCCGCACGAGGCCAAGCCAAGGCGGACAATAGAGCACTCACCTCGGTTGCGGTCCGAGCTTCTTATTGAAGAGACAACACGAGGATTGCGCATACAACCAAAACTGCCAGGCACGTAATCCAGACGTATATGTGAGCGTGTCCGTAGATTAGGTGTGTGCGGATGGAGCTCAGGCTTGCGGTGAAAGAAGCATGCCGGCCTCCATGTTTAACACCAAACGGCGACGGTATATGCGCGGGAAACAAGGCCCGAGGCAATAAATGCGGTATTCTCATGACCTCATGCCGGTAGGTCTGGTCCTCGTTGACTCTTGCAGCTCGGCTCAGGGGAATAC